ATTAGCTCTCTTAAAGTCTAAGACTCTAGTTTCACTTTGTTCTACTACTTGTGTTTGCATAATATTGAATTCCAATATTGCATGGTCACTTGCCCCCAGGGTTCCTGTGCTGTACAACACCTTCTATCATTTCCTCTCTGTTAGTCAGAATTAAGTCCAATATGGCTGATTCCCTTCTCTACTTTTTGGGAAACAAAGTTGTCTGCTAGGTTCGTTAGGAACCTGTTGGATCTTCAACTTGGTGCAGTTTGTTTCACAGTTGATGTCAGGGTAGTTAAAATTTCCCATTACTATTGTGGTATGCTTCCTACATACCTTAGTTAGCTGACTAGCAAACCGTTCATCTACTTCCTCTGCTTGGTTGGGTGGCCTGTAGTATAGACCTATGGCAATGTCATTCCCTCCCCCTCAACCTTTCATATTGACCCAAATGCATTCAAGGTAGTTCTTTCTCAACATTGTTGTGCTCTATTTCTGTAGAGAAGTAATTATTTCTTATATATACTGCAACTCCACCTCCTCTTTTATTTGGTCTATTTCTTTTAAATAATTTAAATCCTTCTAGCTGTCCTAGTCCAACCCTTTTTTCAAGCAGAAAACCCTATATCATAAATAAGGTTATGGAAAATATGGTAAATAAATATATTTACTTATGCTTACTTCAATAAATGCTTATTCTACGTTAAATGCTGTTAGTCATTAAAATACAAAAGAAGGCCCATTTAAATTTTGTGAATATACAGGCTGTTCACATTATGTTTTTCCAATCACCATTCTTAGAATTTCCACAAAGACTGCCTGCTTAGTCCAAGCCCAGGAAGATCTTATAGGTGAATAGTTGGAGGTGAATAGAAATAGCACGGCAGAGAGGATGTTTTTCAAAGAGTGTTGAATTTTAATGAAAAAAGAGGAACTTTTAAAAAACTACTTTTCATTTAAACACACAGACCAGTGAGGTAATGCCACAACAATGGCACTTTTTCTTTTGAATTAATTGTGTTGCAATCTACCTATGACACTCAACTGTACTGTAAACATAGAGGAAAATAGTAAGTAAAAAAAATAAATGTGCTTTCAGATTAGTGGCAGTTTTTAGAGTTCAGATATTATAACCTTAGCAACAGCTTTTAGAGTTCAGATATATATGCTTTCTTCAAAGCATAAGTATACTACAGTGGTGGGATTCAGCCAGTTTGCACCACTTTGGGAGAACCGGTTGTTAACTTTCTGAGGAGTTTAGTGAACTGGTTGTTGGAAGAAATCATTAGGGCAGAGAACCATTTGTGAAATTATTTGAATCCCACCACTGGTATACTGTATATAAATATAGAACACTTTGGAATGATTCTACCATGTTTAATCAAGTAGATTTGAAAAAGTGGGGGATACAAAAAATAAATTATAGTGTGAAGTAATGGTCAGTTGAAAACTGTGTTTTATCTATTCATTGTAGCATTTGTTTCTGAAAATTTTGTCATCAGAAATTACTACACACTAAATTTTTGAAGAAATAACAAAAATCACTTGTTTGTTCATTTTCTCAGACATAAGTATGCAATGTCTGTTGACTGTAGTGCTAAAGGGTACAAAAAAGTGAAAAGGATTTTTAAAAAATGATTATTCAGAAGTTGATTACTATGCTCTTTCTTTAGATGTAAAATAATTTAACAAGCATGGCTAAACATCTGCCAAAAAAGAAAAGAAAAGAAATTAGAGAGTTAAGTTGATGGTGATCGGAATATCCAATATCCACTGTAACAAAAATCTGAATAGGAGAATGGAAAAATTTGTCTTTTTAAATTGGCCCTGCTAATTGATGGAGTAAAGCTTCCTTCCATACAGCTGCTGTTTGGAATACTTTGACCTCTAGCAATTCATAACATAATGCTATAACAGTACCCTTGAAGTTGGCTATATTATATTATGTATTTATTATAAGTTTTCAAACCACCTTATATTCTAAAATATCAGAGTGTAAATAAATAAGCAAAAATGCAGGAATCAAACTATGATATAAACATAACATAATAATATAAAGAGATCCATATTACAAAAAGCAGAGTATAGAGTACACTTTAAAACAAATATGTGTTTTGAAACACACTTGGGCAAATACATTTTAATCTTATACCAACATAGTTGCTAATCCAAATTACATGAACATTCTAGAGATGGAGTTTCATAAGATAAAAGGCCATATGCCTGGATTGTCCTCAACAAGTTTACCCTGGAAAAGGAAGCCTGAAAAAATGTTCCAGGAACATTTTATTATGTGGGCAGTTTTTTAGAGAGGGAAATGTTTTCAAATATTTTGCTCCTCAACTGTTGAGGCTCAGGAATTTAACAGCAGTACTTAAATTGGGCTTTGATATCTCACAATAGCAGCACATATCTTAAAGAAATATAGAAAATAATTTGCATAGTTTAGTACAAAAAACTCCATGGTCCTGACTGTTTTCTCTTGATTTTTCTAGGGAGTTGAGTCTCCACTATATTTGGAAAGTGTTGTTGCTAGGATGATCCCTGGGTTTTCCAAATCTCCTGGCCAGCAAGGCCCCCAGCATGAGAGTTATGAAGAAAAATATGAGCGCCGGTGCGAGAAGCACGAACGCCTGCTCAGAAGAAACAACAGGACCACATGTCGTCTCACAGGCAAATGCCAAAGCAAAGAAGCCAAGGAACCAGCTCAGAGCCCTCGACAAAAAGAATTCTTCCGAAGAAGGAATTTAACAACTGAAGAGCTTGGAAGGAGAAAAACAATGTTGCCTCCTGGCAAGAGCTCTTTATTTCCTGTAAACTGTTCTGGCAATCTAGGGGGAATACCACCTCAGATCTATTTGAACTATTTGTCAAATACCCAGGTAATATTTAATGATAGGGATAAAGCACCTATTGGACCATCCCAAAATGATTAGTTGGGAAAGCTATCTGTTGAATTTAGATTTCCACATCTTCTGTTGAACTGGGTTAGATCAGTCATGAATACCGTAAAGTTTTAATGTGTGTGTGTGTGTGTGTTTGTGTGTGTGTGTGTGTGTGTGTTTCTGCTGTTTGTTGTCATATATTGCTTGCAATTAACCAAATCTTGCTTGAAGTTGCTAAAATCTCACAAGATTTTTAGAAATTTTGTTTTATTGTTTCAAATAGCCAATAAGTTCA